ATAAATTTAAAATATAATTTATATGTTTATAAATATCTATATATATAAATTTTAAATATGATTTATATATTAAAATATAATATTTATTAATATTTTAACATGTGTAATGTAGATGCATGTTTATTATATATAATTAAAAGTTATAATAAGTTTTATATATATATATAAATACTATATTTTTGTAAATAAATTTTATTTGATATTAGTATACATAAATATTTCAAAACATATGTTATATTGTAGATTTATAATAAATAATTTTTATTGTAAAAAATTTATTTTTTTTCATTGATAATTCATTCATTTTAAAATATTAATGTTTAATTCATAAATAATTTTGATAAATAAAAACTAAATTAGATAAAAAGTTAAAAAAAATCTTATAAACCCTCTCATTGAAGAAAAACTCCTAGAAACATTGGGATTGATTTGTACATATAATTTATTATGAATTTTAATTATTTTGTTTTCGTATTTAATATATAGGAGTTAATTTGTATATATAATTTATTATAAATTTTAGTTACATTTTGTTCTAACCGTAAGTTCACTGATATCGTTAGAGTCACTACATGTATTATTTACTTTGGTGCTCACTGAGCCATCACAATTTTGTCCTTGAAAAGATACCTTGATGGATTAAGGAGGGAGGATGTTTATAAATTATCTTTAGTCTCAATTTCTAAACGATATGGACTTTTAGGACTACCAGAACAAGCCCCTCAATCGAGGCTAAAGGATAAAAATGGCCTAGGCTCTTCTTCTAATGTCAATGTTCTAACCGTAAGATCACTGACATCGTTAGGGTAATTGTGTTTGAGGTATTGTTCGCTTTGATACTCATTGGAACCGTCTCAATTTTGTCCTTTAAAAGGAACCTCAATAGGTTAAGGAAGGAGGTTGATTATAAACTATCATTAGTCTCGATTCTTAAGTGATATGTGACTTTTAAGCATATCAGAACAAATCCCTTAGTTGATACTAAAGAGTAAAAGTGGTCTAGGCTTTCCTTCTAGTGTCAATATTTCAATCGTAATTCTGCTGACATTATTAAGGTCATTACATTTGAGGTATTGCATACCAACTACCACGTGAAGACATTAAAGACATGTGACTTAAATCGATTGTACACCAACAAACACAATGTGAGTAGAATTGGTCATACAACGACTACCACACAAAGACATTGAAGACATGTGACTTGAATCTATCGTACACCAACAAGTGCGACGTGAGTAGAATCGATTGTACACCACTACCACATGAAGACGTTGAAAACACATGACTTGAACCAGTCATACACCAACAAGCACAACATGAATAGAATTGATTGTACACCGACTACCACGCAAAGACAATGAAAACATGTAACTTGAATCAGTTGTACACTGACAAACATGATGTAAATAGAATCGATATTTTGGTGATTGTCGTTCAAAGACTTCTATGACACATGACTTGTATCTATAGCAAATTTTTAAATACAAGTTGATTATACTGTGTGACTAGGGATGAGAATAGATTAGACCAGATCAAACTTAAAATATAGGTTGGGTCTATTATGCAAAATTAAAGCATAAGCTTTACCTATTATTTATCATAAGCTTTTTTATAAGTCTGGCTTGATCTTTTTAAAGTTTCATCTAGTCAAAAGGGTGTAATCGAATTGAATTGATCAAGAAGGTCAAGCCAAGCCAGTCTAATCGGGTACCTAGGTGAGTACCCCACCAATCATACTTTCAAAATAGGTTAACATTTATCCAATTCGAGACCTATTTCCAATAAAAAAAATCTTATTTTTAATAATTGTGATAACACATCAAGATATGGTACTCGATAATGGATAAAGATCATAAAGTCTCAAAATTCTCAAAGCCCATAAAGTCATAACGTTCAAGTATAAAACCTTAATCCTTAGGTAAAGATAGACAAAATATATTTTTGAATATTCTAACTTTAGATGTATGATTAGATTAACTTAATATGTTTTTCGAATCAAAACACATTTAATAAATACTTAATATTTGTATTAACTTAATACGTTTTTCGGATCGAGACACATTTAATAAATATTTAATATCTGCATTAACTTAATACATTTTTAAAAAAAATACATTTAATAAATATTTAATATGTGCATTAACAAATTAAAATATTAAGATAATCTTAATTCTTGTACCACTTCACAACCTTGGACGGCAAACAAAAGAGAACATGAGTAATTTTTATTGTTTGGTTAGTTGATTATTAATTTTAGGTGTATCTATATATTTTTTTTAATTGGATTGGGACTTATCCTCATCAGCAGACAGCAATACCATGTTTTATTAGAATCGATGGCAAGAGATTCTTATTGAAATATGCAACAGATATAAAAAATATGAGTATAAAAATTGGAAGTCGTGCAATAACCCAGTTATCTTATATGATGACTGGAATAGCTAGGAAAATAACAAGGTGAATTTGATGAATGGGATAGCTCTTGATTTTAGGCTATTGTGCATCTTGTTTTGTCTTTATCTATTGTAGTTTATGTCGTTTGCGCAACCAAGGAAGTTGAAGTTAGCATAAGAAAGCTCTAGTAATTCTTCTTTTGTCCCTTTCGCTATGGAAAGGGCTGAAATTTCTAAGAGAAGGATAGAACACTCATCTATTATTGGGGAAAATGACTAGACGCTCAAGGAATTAGAGAATAGAGACCGACTCATCAGAGTTGGGGTGCGTTCATACATGTGCATTATTTAATTTTACCTGCATAACTTGAATATGTTGTAGCTACCTAACGCAGTAACGCTCATGATCAGCACTGTTTCGCATAACATGAGTGGACTGAATCAAACTGTCCCCTAGCGTCGAAACTGGAGTCAACAAGCAAGCTAGAACAGGTTAAAGCAGAGAACATCAATAACTCATGTAAAGGAGAGCCTTAAGAACCTAATTTAGCCTTATAAAAAATAAGACAATATTAAATATTTTTAATAGTAATTTATTTTT